CCCTTCCCTCCATGACTTTCATGGCTCTTAGAGCCCTTGACTGTGTCTCCCTCATGCCGGAGATATTACAGTCCATCAGACTGAGCCCCTCAAAGTAAGGCCAGGTCTGATTACCTCCAGGTCCCCAGTGCCCAGGACAAGGCTGAAGCCAAAGAAGGGACCAGGAAGTAGTTGTGAAATAAATAAAGCAATGAATTAACTGTCTACTAATACTAATGATCACTTTTGACAACATCCCACTACATCTAAGACATTTCACATGCTTTCATTGAATCCTAACAAGTAGAAATCACTAGTCCCACTCTACAGATGAGGAACTGAGGCCTCCAAAGTCACACAGCTAGCAATTGGCAGAGGTGCAGTTCCCACTCAGGCAGTGGACTCCAGAGCCAGTGGACCACACCCTGAGTGTAATGGAACTGGCCCACTCACCGTAGTGCCGTCCACTGCCACGTATACTTTGCTGCGGCTTGAGTACACCTCCACATCCAGGACCCGTCGGGGACCGCTGCCTCTGCGCCGTGGAGGCTCCAGTCGGCCCAGGGCCTCATCTGTGGGGGTGTGACAGGTCATAGAGATAGTCTCTCCAGCAGAGAGGTCTCATCCCTTGGGATCTGCCTGCCACTTCAGCCATGAGATCCTAGGGGAATCCCACCCTCTGCCCCCGCCCCCCCATCCACTCATCCTCAGCCTGGCCCCACCATAGTCTCGCTCTGGCTCCGGGTCTTCACTGGCCTCGCTGATTGCCCGCCGCGTGTCCAGGATCAACTTGATGTTGACAATGACGGTCACCAGTAGGAAAAGCACGGCCCCTGTCTGAGGGAAGGGGTGGGGACGACTAAAGACGGGCACCCTCTCCAGCTCACTGAGGGTCTTCCTGAAAGGAGGGCCCTGGCTACAGGGAGGATCCAGGGAGAACCTGGGGCCTGTCTCTCCTCCCTGTCTGCCCAGCTCTACTCCCCCAACCAGTGTCCAGTGTCATGACCACCTCCTCCAGGGAGCCTCCCCTGACCCTTGCCCCTTCATCAGGGCCCTCCCTACCCAGAGCTCCTGTGGTCTTCCATTTGAGGCCTTGATTTCCTTGGTTCTCTCCACAATTAGTTCCTAGAGATGGAGCCAGTCCCAGAGAACCAAGCTGGGGATCAGAAGACCTGTGTCCTAGCCCTGACTGCCTGACAGGTGTGTGCCCCTGGGCAAAACCTTCCTATCAGACTTCAGGTTTGTCAGAAGCCTAGGAGGTTGTACTTGGGTTCTGATTCCAGAACTCTGGACCCAAACCACTACCTGATAGAAACATGACACAAAGAGGTTTCCCCTCTAGGAAGATGCTGCTACTTTCCAGGGTAGGGGTAGCCAAGGTAGGTCCCAGTGCCCATAGTCTAGGCGGGGGTAAAGCTGGGAGGGAGCCCCTGGGAGGTCTGGGACATCTCCATACCTGACAGAATCTCCGCAGGGCCCGCTGGTTGGTTAGTTTATACTTCCAGGTAAGATACCAGCTCCGCTTCTTCCGAGCCCCAAAGGGCTTGATGAGGGGGCTGGGCTTCCAGTCGTCCATGCTGGACTGGGGGGTCACCACCATCCCGGCCAACCCATGCCTTCAGGCATCTGAGGGGACCAAAGGGTCACATGGGGTAAGGTGTTCCTCCCAAAGTCTGATGCCTTCTGGGGAGATGAGGGAAGGCCTCCCAGCAACTCTTCCCTGCAGGCATCCATGCTGTGTGACCCGCGGAAAGTCGCTCAACTTCTCTGGAAAGAAAACCTTCAGAGGGGTCAGATTACCTGGAAACTCCCCTGGGGCTCAGGAACTGACAGGGCTGCCCAGGGTGCCAGGGGTGGTGGCCAAATAATCGGTTCCCAAGGTTCATCAGCCCCTAAAAGGTCCAAGCCCCAGCCTTCGCAGTCCTGGGGCCGGCAAAGGGCAGCGACCTCCCCTCCTCCCCCTCCCTCGCCCCCTTCTCGGTGGCCCCACTCTTCTCCTCCCGGGTCTCGGGGCCGCCCGAGGACTCGGGAGACCTGCTCCGGCCGCGCCACCCCTCCCGACCCCCGCCCGGAGGCACTCACGGCTCAGTGGGCCCGGGCCCCGCGGGAGCCCCACTCGGGCCCGCACGGCTCGGCCCGGCGCGCCGAGGCCTCCGCCTCCTCCATGCCGCTCGCAGCCCCGCCCCGGCCCGCCTCCCCGCTTCCGCCGCCGCCGCCGCCGCCGCGGGGTGAGAGGGCGGCGGGCGGCGCTTCGGGCGGCTTCGCGGGCGGGGCGCTGCGGCGGGAGAGCGGCCTCCGGCCCCCAGCGCCGCCGTCGGCGAGGCGATTGAGTCGGAGTCCTGGAGCCTGGCACTGCCACCCCCTCCTCCCCGGGCACGCCCGGGTCACACGGGCGACAGGCCTTGGACACAGCGCCCCCCGCCCCTTGCCTGGGCAAGGCTGCACCCAGGTCTGGGGCAGGCACGGCCTTAGGCGCCCGAGGGGAGTTAAAAACCTGATTCTACCAGTCACCTAGACCTTGGGCAAGTCACTTAACGTCTCAGCCTAGGTTCCCTTCCTGTGAAATGGGGGTGCGCTTATATGATGCTGACTCCTTGCCAGTCACTGTTCTAAGCACTTTACTTATATTAACTCATTTAATTCCACAGCAATCCCATGAGGTAGGTACTATTATTAATGAGGCCCAATGTCACCATGCTGGGAGAGCTTGGTGAAAGCCAAGCGGCTCCGGATTCCACTCCTAACCCCTGCGTTATCCTGACAATAACACTTAGAGGGTTGTTGTGAAAGTCACCTGAGATAATACATACAAAGCGCTTAGCTTAACACAGTGGTCTGGAACTTCAGCTTGCATCAGAATCTCTTGGAGGGCTTGTGGAAACAAACTACTGGGCCCTATTCTTAGAAGTGTTGATTCTGTAATCTGGGGTAGAGCAGAATGCTGCATTTCTAACAAGTTTCTAGATGATGGTGACACTTATTTGAAGCGAGTAGGTAGCCATGGGACAGATTTAAGCAGGGGAGCAATATAATCCGATTTTTAAAAACCTTTACCATTTTGTGGAGAATGTATTAAAGGGAAACAGAGGAAGCCAGAAGACCCCTTAGATTTTTTTGAGCTCTCCATAGTCCATCTACTTCCTAAATGGTGGGATGGTATCCCCCAAAATATTAACAGTACTTGCCTTAGAAGTTGAAGCAATAGGTGATTTTTCAGAAGAAAACACAAGGTATTTTGTTAGCATTTGAAAAAGATGTCCCTCCCTGAGCCTCCTCCCTCCTCAAACTCACTCTCCAGGAAGATCTCATCCCTTTCCTGACCTCTGTTATCATCTGGATTCCTAGACTCATAGCTGCAGTCCTAACCTTTCTCCCCAGCTCCAGGCTGACCTGTGTCCTACTGCCTGCTGGACGTCTTCACGGAGCCCTCCAACTCCACACGCTCCTGCTGGAATCATCCTTTCCCACTCCCAGACCTCTTCTTGGGCTCTCTTCCTTGGTGAATGGCCTTAGGCCAAACAGCTGGGAATCACCCTTGATTCCTCTTCTCTGTCCAGCAACCAGTCCACGTCTGTTTGCTTATCACTGTATTCTCTGCACCACACACAATGGCTAGCACATAGTAGGCTCTCCATAATATTTATTGAAGTCGGTCATCTTTTGAACAAATATTTATTGAATGCCATGATAAATAAATGAGTGTAACCACTTACCAAGTCCTGTCCATCTTGCCCCCTAAAGAGTCCTTCATTCTGGTCTCTTTCCTCTCTAACCTCACAACCCGCCCCTGGTCCAGCCCTTTTCAGTTTCCTGCCTTTGCCTTCCAGCTGTTGTCCCTCACTCCAAATGTTTACTCCTCCAATCCTTTCTTCTTGCAACATCCAGAGTAATTTTTCAAAAAAGGAATCTGTTTTGTCAATCTCTGATTTAAAACCCTTTCATGAATCAAGAGATATTAAGGAGAAATATATTACTTAAAATTACAAAGGTAACCATTAAATGAACTAAAAATAATGATAGAAATAGATAGGACCAACGGAAGAAGGGAAATACCAAGCGTAAGTGAGGTAAGTCATATTTACCATAATAGGAAGTCAGTAGACAATTTTTAAAATTAAGAAATAGTGGTACAGTATAAACCCATGTAGTGTTATAGGTATAAACATTAGAAAAAACATTCCTAAAAGTGGTTGCCTCTGGGGAGTGGGACTAGAAGTGGGAAAGGATAGGGCATCTTTTCATTGAAAATCCTTCTGTAACCATGGGCTGGAATTACTTGGATTAAAATCCAAAATCAAGCCAAACCGTGAAAAGTTTTTCATGGCTCCTCATTGCCTCTGGAATAAAACCCAAGCACCTTAGAATCCTATTCCTTTACCTTGTTACTCCAAGTGTGGTCCCTGGACCAGCAGCATGGCCATCACCTGAAAGCTTGTTAGACATGCAGAATCCCAGGCCCCACCCCAGATTTGCAGAACCGTAATCTGCATTGTAACAGGATGCGCAGATAATTCTCATGCACAGTCAAGAATCATGTATGACCTGGCCCTTGTGGACCTCTTCAGCTTCAATACTGGTTGCTCTTCATCGGCCAGAACTTTACTTTCCACTTCTTTAGTCTAAATTCAGTGGCCACACTGGGGTGAATGTGCGTGTGTCAGTGACCAGCTAAATTCTAATCACTGTTTTGGACCCAGCTCATCTACTCCAGGAACCCTTCCACAACCCTCTGCAGCTCTGTTACTACTGTTCCTTAAATTCCCACATTTCTAACTGACGGAAGATGCTTAGCCTTCATTCAGCAAACACTTCTTGGGCGCCTGCTGTGTGCCTGGCTGGATTCAGTGCCAGGGTGGGGAGAAGGCGTTGAGCTCTCCCAGGGCTCCCTCAGGTACAAATGCAGCATCGCCCAGCCCGACGCATTCCACGACTAGAGGTAGTGTGCGCAGCACTCGAATACACACACACACACGCACACACACGGTTGCGCGGCTTTTCTGAGCATTACGGCGCCCTCCTCCCGCCCCCGCACGGCGCGGGCTAGGAGCCGCCGGTTCCGCTCCGCACTAGCAGCGGAGAAAGGAAGACCTGGGGGAGCGGGATCCCGGCGCCCGGTCGCCCAGCCTTGTTCAGGCTTAGGCCCGCATGGAGGGGACTGCGGAGTCCCAGACGCCTGACCTGCGAGACGTGGAGGGCAAGGTGGGCAGGAAGACGCCTGAAGGGCTGCTCCGCGGGCTGCAGCGAGGCGAGTGGGAGCCGGGAACCTCTGGCGCCCTGATGCTCCCAGGGGCGCCCAGCACGGGCCATGGCCTGGGGGACAAGATCATGGCGCTGAGGATGGAGCTGGTGAGTGTGAGCTCCACCTGCCAGGGGGGCGGAGCCCCCTCCGCGTAGGGCCAGACGGGACAGACTCATGCCCCCAGAGATGGGCTGGAGAGGAGGGAGTTAAAATTCCCCGCCTAACTCTTCAGGATCTCTCCCACATCAATCCTTAAAACCTGGGGTCCCTTAATTGCACCCTGTCCCCAAGGGTGAGTAGGGTGTTGATGGGTCCTGAGGGCTTGGGGGGGGAGGCACAGGTTTTTGAAAGTTTTTCCTGCCAAATAATTGGGAGGGGAGAGGTGAGGACTGGGAAGCGCTGAGAACCTAGGGCAGCACAAATCTGCCCCCTACCCCTCGCTACCGCAGCACCTATCCTCCAGCCACCATTATAGGGCAACGGGTTTTTTGTCCTGCAAATTGGGCCCAGGGTTTGTTCCTCTGAGGCCCCGGTGTTCACACAAGATTCAGCGCAGAAGAGATTTGGGTGAAAACTGCCTGGACTAGGGCCACTAAAAACGTCCTTTTTCCCCAGCATCCCCTCCCACCCACTTAAGGTATTTGAAAGTTTCTGGAACCTTAGCAAACGGAGTAGCAGCACCATCGGTGTTGGTTCCGTCACTGACTCAGTTTCCTTCTGGCCAACCCCCCCCCCCTGCCCCCGCCCCAGGTAATCTAGATATTGGGATCTCATCTGTACCTCCTTGGGGAGGAGAGAAGGAAACAGGCATCTTCCCCCTGCCCTGTTGCTGCTGGTCTAGATTCAGAGCTGAGAGGGCAGTTGGGGCCCCCTAGGCTCCCTAGGGCCCCGGTTCCGGTGAAGGGGGTGATTTCCATCTGCCACCACTTTGCAGCCAGCTCTAGGGAACTGAGGAATTGCCAGCCACTTTCTGGCCCAGAACCAGGAGCTCACAGTGAGTGTCAGCCAATAGGTCTTCCTTCCTGGAGCCCCACTGTGTGCCCAGCTGTGCCAGGCTGAGCTGTGAGGCAGCAGGGGGGCAGGTCATGGGGGTTCCTGACGACTTGAGAGGCTGGGGACAGCCTTGTGGGCAGAGCAATCAGGGAAGGCTCCCTGGGGGAAGGATTTGAATGCCATGTGTGCACTTGGCCTTGAAGGTTGGAGGTAAGTGCCGGATTCTCCAGAGCAGGGCTGTGACTGTGTCCACCAAGGGAGGGGCCTGGCTTTGGCTCACTGTACTTTTAATTCAAGGCCTAGAAAGAGCCTACCTAGAGTGTCTTGCTTTGGAAACTAACTTTTACCAAGGGCATGTGCGAGGCACCCTGCTGAGCACTTGACAAGATATTCTCTTAATCCCCACAGCAACCTGTTAGGTAAGTAATGAAGAAATTGAGGCACAGAGCGGTTAAGTAACTGCCCCAGGTCATATAAAGAGTAAAGAGCAGAGCCAGGCTTTGCACCCAGATGATCTGCCTACACTTTACATTTTTCCCATTGAGACCTGCTTTGTGCCAGACACTTGAAACACATTTTATGGCATTGAAGTGAGAAAAGCAGTCCTCATTTTCCCCATCTCACAGATGGAACACGCTGGCAGGTGTCGAGGGGCTTGCCTGAGCTGCCACAGGCAGCCGGTGCAGGAGGGTGCCTGGGCTCTCTCTCTTTCCTGCCTTGGTGGAGATCACCTGTTTGTAAACTTTCAACTGGTACATTTCACTTTTGATTAGATCTTTCTGCATTCTTGACCCAGCCTGGCCTGAGGCCCTGATTAGATCTTTCTGCATTCTTGACCCAGCCTGGCCTGGGGCCTTGACTGCCCAAGAAGGGCATGAGGGAGGGAGCCTTCTGGGGGCCGGAACGGGGGAAGGCTTCTTCTGTGCCCCGCGGATTCCTCCCCCGTTCCTTTCTCCCTCCTTGGGCCAGGATGTCATTGATCTCTTTATGCACTCTGCCCTGCCCACTGCGTTGCACCCCGGGAGGACGGGGGACAGGGCAGGAGGTTTCCCTTGGAGCCACTTGTGGCAGAACTGGTCCAGGCCGTCTAAATCCTGACCTTCAACTGTCCCTCTCCCAGCTCTCCTGCAGGGAGGGGCAGCCTGCCCTTGAGGCCAAGGTCATCCCTGCCTCTAGGCCTCTTCCCTTCTGCTTCCTGCCCCCACTCAAAGGTTGAGTGAACCAGCTAGACTCTGAAATTTGTGCCAAGGGGAAACAATGGCAACCTCCCCTACTTAATCCTCCCACCCGAAAACTGTTGCTAGGACAACTGGCCCCCACGGAGCAGTTTGAGAAAAAGCTTTAGGCAAGGAGGGAGAAGGCCTGGGTTCAAGTCCTGGCTTTGCTCCTAGATCATTTTATGATCTTGAGCAGAGCCCTGACTCTCTCTTGGCCCCAGTTTTTCTGCCTCTTGGAGGATGGGGGTTGGGGGGTTGTGGGGTCGGATGACCTTTAAGAGCCTTCCTAGTAACCATAGTCTGAGGCTCTCAGTCCACCACCAGGGAGGTAGGGCTGGGAGCATCTCAGGGCCTGATTTGGATTGAGTGACGCTGGAGCCATACTTGCGGCCTCAGGGCTGGGCAGAGTCTGATGTGGATTTGTTAAGGGGAGGAGTGGGGAACCTGAATCCCCCTCGGAAGAGAATTGGGTTGGAGTGGCCTCGGAGGCTGCTTCTTTCCTGAGCTGTTTATGCCCTTTCTGTTTCCAAAGGGATGGTGTGAAATGAGTGTTTCTTTTTCTGGCAAGAAAGCCTTGCTGCTTTCTTCTATTCTGGGAAGTGATGCTGTCACAGTCAGGGAATCCCACTGTCACAGGACTATAGAATCTCGTAATCAGATTTGTTCCCATCAACATGGTAAAACCCAACCCCTGAACCCTGGGACCTGCAGAGGGGCCAAGGATAGTCAAGGGAAGAGAACCCCAGAACTGAATCTGACCTACTTAGTCCTAGGCTCAGCACCATAAATGAGCTGGGTAGGACCTGCTCTTGGGGAGCTCACAGTCTGGGTTCAGGAAGGAGGGAGACAGACCAGTAACTCTAGTACAGGAAGATAAGTGCTGCTGGAACCCAGGGAAGGCTTCCTGGAGGAGTCTTCATTATAGAGTGACATGGTCAGATTTGGGCTCTGGAAAGGCCTGTTGGAATTGGAGGAGACACATGCTGTTTCCTCTGGTTGGAATGCCTCTCTCCACTGCTTTGTCTGGCTAAAGCCTACTTAACCCTCGAGTCTCAGCTCATGTGGCTTATTCCAGGAAGCATTTCCTTACTGCCCTGGCTGGGTTTTGGCCCCCCTGGGCATCCACAGCCCTCTGTGTTGCAGTTGTTTCCCCTGTTTGCTACGCTAAATTTTAAGTGCTTGCATCACTGTCTTATCTTACCCACTACACTGTGAACTCTGAGGGCAAGAAATGGTGTCTTTTCGTCCTTTATCTAACACAATGCTATGCCTATAAGAAACAAAAAATATCGTTCCATGACTGAATGGATTAATTCTGTCTTGAGGAAAGGCAGGGAAGACTTCCTAGAGGTGGTAACATTTGAATTGGGCCTTGAAGAATAAACTCAGTGGGAATTCCAGTTCAAGATGGCAGATTGAACACATGCGTTTACTTTCATTCCCTCCTGAAGCTCCACTAAAAAGCCAGTAGAAGGATTATTTTAAAAGCCATGACGCGACTATGACAACAAGAACAAGAGAGATGATAGGAATAAAATGTTGGAAGCTGAAAAGCAGAAGGAAGAGTGGTAACTAATTTAGCAGGACTGAGAAAAGCTGAATTCCTAGCCAACAGTGAGGAAAGCTGAAAAGCAACCCATTTTGCACTACAGAAACCCTCAAAGGTCTCAGGAGTGGGAAGCACCAGGTATTTCTGGAATGGGGGCACAGGTAGAGCCGAAAACGGAAGGGTCAGTGAATGTTTAAGAATCGTTCTCTGAGATCCTCTCCCTAACTGGGCAACCAGGTGCCAGCCACTCCTTTATCCTGGCAGACACTGGAGATCTGTTTTGGAAAGGATAGAACAGAAGGAAGGGAGGAAGGGGAGAACATAGCAGGAGAAGCATTTTTAGTATAAGTTTTGTTTAATACATTTAGTTTGGTCTGACTAGGACTGTTGGTTTCACTGTCAATATGTTTGTCCCCAGTATGAAATAATTGAAGATGATCTCTTGTTGTGTCATTAGGAGTCTGTACAGTCTGTGGTATTTCAGTTATTTCTGTCCACATCTCCTTATTGAAACTGTAAACTTACATTAACCATAGTCATATGTGAAGCCAAATACCGCTTGTCAGGCGGTATGCTATGCTTGTTAATATGTTCCTTCCATTTCTTAAACCTTTAAATTAGATAGTATCTTCATTTTACAATGAAGAAGTGAAGGTTTAAAGGGGGAGAAGAATCCAATTTCACATGGCTCGTTAATGGCAAAACTGGAATTTGAATCCAGGTCTGTTTAATTCCAGAGTCTGTATTTTTCTCAAGGCACAAATACTTGGTCTTATTCTGGTTTATCATTGTGGATGTGAGTAAAGCAATTATTTCCTGAATAACTCAATGGACGTTTATCAAGAGACACATATTTGAAAAGAATAGAACCAAAGGTCTTCAGATTGGGAGACACCAAGCAAAATTGAGGGCAAGAGGGATTAAATAAAAATGTACTAAAGGTTGTGAGATACCCCTCCCAGCCTTTCCTCCCACTTGGCTCTGAGGATCTTGGCAGCTTTGCTTCCATGATACTCTGTAGACGGGTTCATCATATTCACCACATTAAACCCAAGAGAAAAAAACCCACAAAAGATGCTGGCTTCAGGCCTTACCCAATCAAACAGCCCAGCCAGGTAACCCTCAGTGAGGCTCAGAGTTGGCAAGCCTTTCACGTGCACAGAGTTCCCAGTCAGCTCTTTGGAGACTACGCTCAAGGGTGGCAGCAGCTAAAGAACGTAAGACATCTGATGAGAGCTTCTGTCTAGACCTAAAGAGACAGAGAAAAGCAATGTGAATGAAATGGAGATAATACAGGGAGATGAGAACTTATAAAAATCATTAATTGTATCCTTGCTCTTTGGAGACTACGCTCAAGGGTGGCAGCAGCTAAAGACCGTAAGACATCTGATGAGAGCTTCTGTCTAGACCTAAAGAGACAGAGAAAAGCAATGTGAATGAAATGGAGATAATACAGGGAGATGAGAACTTATAAAAAATCATTAATTGTATCCTTAAAGAGGTGAGAGATAATATTGCAACCATGAACAAAACCAGGAAGCTGTAAAAAGGAAAATATTCGGAGAACTAGAAACAACTCTTGGAAATAAAAATATAGGAAAAAATGAAAAACTCAATGGAAGTGTTGATAATATTAATATATTTCAGAAACTAGGACAAATGCAGAAAGGGATGGGAGAGGAAAAAAAAATAGAGGACCGCGCCAGGAGGCCCTCTAACCAAATAATAGGATTTCCAGAAAGAACAGAATAATATTGGAGGAGAAATAATCATTAAAGAAATAATTAAAGAAAATCTCTCATGGGGCCGGCCCAATGGCACAGTGGTTAAGTTCCCACGTTCTGCTTCAGTGGCCCGGGTTTCACTCGTTCAGATCCCGGGTGCAGACTTACGCACTGGTTGTCAAGCCATGCTGTGGCAGGCGTCCGACATATAAAGTAAAGGAAGATGGGCACAGATGTTAGCTCAGGGCCAGTCTTCTTCAGCAAAAAGAGGAAGATTGGCGGCAGATGTTAGCTCAGGGCTAATCTCCCTCAAAAAAAAGAAAGAAAATCTCTGAGAACAAAAGGACATACGTTTCCAGATTAAAAAGGCCCAAGAAGTGGCCAATTCAGTGGATGAAAATAGACCCACACCATGGCAAATTACTGTGATAATTTAGAACACCGACAACAAAGAGAAGATCCTAAAAACTTCCAGAAATAGTGAAACGATGCTCACATACAAAGGATCAGGAATCAGAATGGCATCAGGGCTAGCCCCAGAAACCTAGTGGTTAAGTTCGGCGTACTCTGCTTCAGTGACCTGGGTTCAGTTCCCCAGCACAGACCTATACCACTTGTCTGTCAGTGGCCATGCTGTGGTGGCAGCTCACATACAAACAAAAAAAAGAGGAAGATTGACAGTGGATGTTAGCTTAGGATGAATCTTCCTCAGCAAAAAAAAAAAAAAAAAAAAGGGGCATCAGACTTTTTTTAAGTGTAACACTAAAAATTAGAAGACAATGGAACAATGCCTTAAATCCTGAGGAAAAATTATTTTCACCCTAGAATTCTATACCCAGCCAAACCATGAGCAGTGTGAGGAGAGAATAACAACATTTTAAAATGTGATGTGAAGCTTCAACAAATGTACCTCCTGTGCAGACTTCCCCAGGGGCTGCTGGAGGAGAAGCACCACACGTGCACACATGAAGGAGTAAATCAGGAAAGAAGAAGGCATGGGATCCAGGAAGCGGGATCCAACTTGGGAAAGGTAAAGGGAATCCCCAAGATGATGGGGGGGGGGGGTCCCTGGAGGATGGCTGTGCAACAGGGACAGATGGGAGCGGATCAGAAGGCTCCTGAAGAGCTGTCTCTCAGAAGATGGAATAGATGGGAGGTAAGGTGTGTTTAAAAGCCTGGAGAAGGAAATTCAGACAATTAGGAGAGAGTTTGGGGATGACTTCCTGATAACTATATAGCAAACTAAGCAAAATATTATTATCCTAAGGAAAACGTAAAGTTGTAGGTAACCATAGTAAACCACCTGACTGAGCTGTGAATAGTATTTCCAAATTCTAAAAAGGTAAACACCGAATAATTATTTTTTTTGTTTTTTTTGTTTTGTTTTTGAGGAAGATTAGTCCTGAGCTAACTGCTGCCAATCCTCCTCTTTTCACTGAGGAAGACTGGCCCTGAGCTAACATCCATGCCCATCTTCCTCTCCTTTATACATGGGACGCCTACCACAGCGTGGCGTGCCAAGCTGTGCCATGTCTGCACCTGGGATCCGAACTGGCGAACCCCGGGCCGCCGAAGCAGAACGTGCGAACTTAACCACTGTGCCACTGGGCCGGCCCTGAATAATTAATTTTATTGCCTGTATTGGGAATGTGAGGAGACAGGAAGGGTATGGCAGAGGGTTAGGATGAAAGAATTAAATCCTTAACTTTCTATCGTGTGGGAAGTCAATAGAAAACACCTAAAACTTAAAAATCAGTAAGTGGCACATTATTTGGAGATCAGAAGGTAAATAGCAAAATAAACAGCTAAAAAATTAATGGTAGTTGTCTCTGGAGGGTGGGATGTAGAAGTAGGATGGGGCGATTTGTTACTTTTCATATCAAATCTTGCAGAATTGTTTGCTTCTTTATGTGCATCTATTACTTTGATTAAAAATAAAACAAAACGAAATTTAAAAAGTCGTATGTGGCAGGTCCTGGGATTCTCAGGGAAGTGTGCTGGAGGTGAAGCTGGAGAGATGGACACAAGAGATGTATTAGGACAGGCTTGGAATGCCAGCGGCTAAAGTGTTTAGATTTTGTTCTCTAAGAGCAGGGCAAAGCCCATGGAGGCTCTTGAGCCCGGGGAGGGACAGACAGGTTCAGACTTGTGCTGGGGGAAGATAACTCAGTGCATCTGAGCTGGAAGAGACCCTAGAGGTTACCCAGTAAGTTAGACTTACTCCCAGTACAGACAGGGCGGCTGCTGTGTGGTGGAGGGAAGCCCTGGAGCCCCAGCCAGCGGGATTCTGACCCTTCCAAGCTCCAGCCAGCCCTTCCCTCCTTCAACAGCTGCCACCAACACCCTGAAGGGACTGGGGGACCGGGTTAACTCTGTCCCCCAGCCCCTGCCTCCTTTTGGCCCAGTCCACTTCAAGTTAACACCTGGCCCCCTGTAGACCTATTTGGCTAACCATATCTATGTCTTGCTGGTGAATGTGGACGGGTTCAATAGTTAATACCCTATCTATGAAGTTCAAAACACAGTAGGATCGGATTTTAACGCAGTACTTCACGTTTACTGAGACCTTACTCTGTGACAGGCTTTGTGCTGACTACTTAATAGACAGCATCTCAGAATTCTCACAGCCTGTGAGGTAAGTGATTTCGCCCTGTTTTACAAACAAGGAAACTGAGGCTCAAAGAAGATAAAGTTGCCCACAGTTCTATCTAATCAGTGGTAGAGCTGAGATTTTAAACAGCAGTCTGTCTGCCGCTAAAGCCCACATGCCAAACCATTCTTTTTCCATGCTTCTTGAAAGTGAAGCGTAGTTGGTTGGACCACAAGATAGAGGCCTCGGGAAACGTTGGGGAAACCCATGGCCCAGAACCGGGGACTGATTCCTTCTCCCACTCCCCCAGGCTTACCTGCGAGCCATCGATGTGAAGATCCTGCAGCAGCTGGTGACCTTGAACGAGGGCATCGAGGCGGTGCGCTGGCTGTTGGAGGAGCGGGGCACTTTGACCAGCCACTGCAGCAGCCTCACCAGCAGCCAATATAGCCTGACAGGCGGGAGCCCAGGCCGTTCAAGGCGAGGCAGCTGGGACAGCCTGCCAGACACCAGCTCCACTGACCGGCTGGACAGTGTCTCCATCGGCAGCTTCCTGGACACGGTGGCCCCCAGTGAGCTGGATGAACAGGGCCCCCCTGGGGCTCCCCGTCCTGAGATGGACCGGGCAAAGGTTATACCTAGTAGGGAGAGGGCTAGGACTGAGGTGGACCTGACAGCCACAAGGTTAGGGAACTTGAGGGCTGTGTGGAAGCCCCCAGGGGAGGGGCTCCACGGTGCACCTCCTGAGCCACCAGAGGATGAGAGTGCCAAGCTGGGCTTTGAGGCCCACTGGTACTGGGGGCAGTGCCAGGATGATGTGACCTTCCTGTAACAACTTTTCCACCCTTTTGTATTCCTATGGCTCTTTCATCTCTAGGTTCTGGTCTCTCTCAAAATTTGTTGTCCCTCAATCTGGGACTGGGAAGAGGTTGCATTGAAATTAGTTACCATGGAAACCTGCCCTCACCATCCCTCTGGTCCCTGGGGAAGCTCTACCTTTATCCCTCAATTATTGGGTCCCTAAAGCTATTTCCATAGATACATTGACTCTAGAGGCTTGACCTGCCACTCCTGGTGTGATGGTATCTCTTCCTCTTCCTCCTGCAACTAGGTAAGGATTTGAGGGATTTCGGACCCCTCGGAGACCGTTGATGAAGAGATGGGGGTGTAATTACCTCACTCAACATCTAGGACCCTTGGCCCTCCTCTTGGCCAAAATGGAGGATTGTGCAGGGACATGGACGTTCAGGGCCAGCCCTCCATGGCTTGGCCCTCCCAGAAGCCTTTGGGGTCGGTAGAGCCGTCCCTTCCTGTTGGGGAGTGATGTCATTTCCTGCCAGGATGGGTTAGCCTTTCCCTGTACCAGTCCGTTAGTGGTGACACTTCAGTATAGCGGTGTCTGAGCCCCTGCTGCTAAGTGAGACTGTACTGTTTATTCTCCATACCATTACTTCTTGTGAGTGAAAACATGTCACCCCTCCTGGCAGGAAAGTTTTACTCTCAGATGTTTGTCAGAAGCGTTCTCACTTTTTAAACAGTGTTCTCATTTTATCCTAGGGGGTCTTACTTCCTGTATGGCCACCTCCCTGTCTGGTACCAGCACTCCTATATCTGTGCTTGTAGGGAGGGAAACTGGCAGGGGCCTCCACTCATGGCTCTCAAAAGTCAGTTTGGCCATCTTACCCTGTTCCTGGGTTGTCCCCAATCTTGTCTTCTGGCTCCAAAGCTGTCTGCCAGGAGCTTCAGCCTTTGTGTCTCCACACCTTCTTGCTTTCCATTTCAGGCCTCAGGCCTTTTATATGCAGATGAGTCCCCCAGCCTTCTCTGCCCACTGCTGATGGGAGCTGGAGGGAGGACGGAGAAGCTGGAGGTCTCTCTCAGAGCTCTGAAGGTGTGCCAGTCTCCAAAGAGGGGAGGTGTCTTCTCTCGTCTTGTGTTTCCCTTCCCCCACCCTGCCCCAGACCTTCCACCATTTGGTCACAGGATGCCTGCTGGAGGCCGGGACACAAGCAGTCCCCTTGTCTGGGATACAATGGAGGGGTGGGGCAGGGAAACACAGAGGCTCTTTGGTCCTAGGACCCATATCCTGGGAGGGGGGAGAGATGAGGGAAATGCTGCTTTCCTTCCTCCCTCAGAACAAGCCCTAGACCCCTGGGACCTGAGGAGGGAGCAAGGGACTGGTGCTGGTTCTGGGTCCCAGGGCCCTAGTGAATTATACCAAAGAAGGAATTCAGGGAAGCTGCCAACCTGGGGCTCAGGGAGGGGACAGGCCTGGGGGCAGGGGCCGGACACAAGGGCTGTGGCTGATGTCAGGGAATGAATGCTTGGAGCTTACCCTTTTGAATTTCAGGGAACTGCCCATATGTTGGTCCCTGTTTTTCCTGGGCCCTGAAACTAGATTATTGACAGGCAAAGAGGAGAGAAAAGGGTGTCAGGTGATCCTTGCCTATTTGCTGTGCCCTCCTGAGTTGGAGGAGTCTTCCTCAAATCCTAGAGTAACTCCTGCAGTTTCTCTACTTTTCATTATATGCTGAGGAAGAGAAGGAAGCTAAGTTGATCATCTCTGCTTCCCGGAAACTCCTCAAGTCTTCTGCAGCCCCCACCCCAGTCTTTTTTGGGCAATACGTTCAGTCTGTGGCTCTCCCCTAAAGACCCTCTCTCCTCCTCCCCTCCTTTGAAAGTGATTGGAATCTCTAAAGTATATTCTTAGTCTCTCCTCCTCTGCCACCCACCAGCGCTCTCCTTACTACCCCTCCTGGTCTTGGGCTCCTGACTTCCCCTCAGGCTGGGAATTCAAATACCTTTTTCCGGTCCCTACTCTATTGCCATTTTGTAGTGTGCCCTTTGGTAAACTACTTTCTCACTTGGAAGTCTTATCTTCCTTTTTGAAGCTTATTTATTCGTTTAGTCTACTTTTGAGCTGAAGAGGTTGCCTGCCCTCTTGTGGCCATTATGCACCATTGCCAGGGTGGCTGGATGGAACCTCCAGGCTCAAATACTGGTACAGCCTTGAAGACGACCAGCACCCTCAGTGCACGGACGGGCTAGAGAGACGGCCTAGAGAGGGCAGAGGCTTGCCCAGTGCCACCCATTGCAACTCTATGGCAATGCAGGTCACAGATCCGGATTTCTTGCCTGCCTGCCCACAGTGCCATCAGTTGGCCAGACTGTTCCCCCACACCACCCAGTCAACCAACAAGCCCAAAGGGACTGAAAGCAATTTTCCTCCTATTTTAATATTCAGGCTCTCACCGTACCCTAGAGAGGCAGCTCAGTGTTTAGAGAAAGAGCTCCAGGCTCTGAGGAAAGAGAACCTTGGACCTGGATTGGGTAAAGGGTGCATGAATCTGGACCACAGATATAAGGAAAATCCATCCTGGACCAGCTGTTTTTCTGGGAAGGGCCAGTAGGCCCAGACATCATGGGGCAGAGAGCTCAGCATTTCAGAACTGGGGGTTAGAAGTGAGGTGGGGATGGAGAACTTTGAGATTAGGAAATCCAGATGGGTTCTGTGGGGTTGGGGAGCTCCAAGATCAGCTGATGACAGCACAATTGGATAGGCACAGCTGGATAGGGCAGAGATGAGACTGCTCATGGCAGCTGCAGAAAACGCTCCTGGGAGGGTAAGGGGTGGCACTGGTTGGGATGTGTCCATCCAGGAGACATGAGCATGTGAGTGGGCAAGAGCAAGGGTCTGCATTTAGGGTGGGGACGGTGAGGTTGAACACTGGACTGACTAGAAGCACGGTGGCAGCTGAGGTGGGAAATGCTTGGGGCTTGTAGTGGACACAAGCTCACTATGTGCATGGTGCCAGGCACATCCTGGGTATTAGTGACACAGTGGAATGAATGAAGGAATGAATGTAAACCCACAAGGAGAGGTGACATTTTTTTTTTAAAGTGGGTAATTAGGTAGTATAGGAATTTTAAACATTCTTCTATTTAATTCTCAGCAACCCTATAAACTGTGCATTATTAACAATGTATTAGGCATTTGCTCAAGGTCAGATAGGTAATAAATAAACTATGTGAACCTTGGTCAGCTGGCTGCAGGGGCTTCCAGGAAGTCTTTTCTGATTCCCCACTCCCCACTCTCACAGACCTTACTCTCCTCGGAGAACAGGTTATGCTGCCCAGTAGCAAGGGCCAGTGTACTAGTTTCCTATAGCTGTTGTAACAAATTTCCTCAAATCTAATGGCTTAAAACAACACAAATTTATTACCGTACAGTTCTGGAGGTCATAAGTCTGAATTCAGTTTCACTAGGCTAAATTAAACTCGGGGGGTTGACAGACATACGTTCCTTCTGGACGCTCTAGGGGAGAATCCATTTCTTTGCCTTTTCCAGCTTCTAGAGGCTGCTTGAATTTCTTGCTTCATGGCCCCTTCCTCCATCTTCAAAGCCAGCAGCATAACATCTTCTCTCTGACCTCTGCCTCCACTCTTCCATCTTCTCTCTCAAATTCTCCTGTCTCCTCTTATGAGGATTACATTGTGATTACATGTCCTTGTGATTACATTGGGCTCACTGGGATAATCTAGGATCATCTCTGCATGAGAAGATCCTTAATTTAACCGTCTTTTCTGTTGTATGAGGTAAAATATTCATAGGTTCTGGGGATTCGGACATGAGCATCTTTGGAGGAAGGGCCATTATTTGGCCTACCACGGGCAGAGATGCAGGGTGGGCAGGAGGATGCACTCAGGCCCAGAATGAACCTCCATCCTTGGTCCAGCCTTCCTCCGCCTGGAGTGAGGGGTGGTGTCAAGGGGGAGGTGGCCAGGTCCAGGCCCCATGTCTGGAGAATGGCAAGTGCCCCCTGCGTCATCACTCCCAGGGGGAGCTGGGATTGTTCAGATTTGGGAGAAGTTCTTAGTTTAGGGAACTCTTCAGTCCTGAGACTCTCTGGTTAACATGGTGGAGGGTTCCAGCTGGCTCTGTCTTCAGCATTGCCTCCTCTCCAGAACCATTCTCTGCTCCTCAGAGCAGAAGATAATTACCAGCAAATTAGCCTGGGCTCTCTCTGGAAAGGGTAGATTTGTTGTCTCCTTTAAAAATTATTATTTTTTTGTTCCTTAATAGTTCAACCATGCTGCCCAGAGCATGGTGAATTATCATCAGTTGATACAAGGCCCCTTGCTTTATTTTCTGCTTTTGATCCCAACCCCTGTTCTCATTCCTCTCGCTGACCTAGGTGTACACCCTGTGTTCAGTAAGTTTTTGGATGTGTATGTATCTTTAAATACATATATATACATATATATATATATAAAATTATGTGCTTATGTGTTTTAATGTATATAAATGGTATACTTTTACAGTAAGCTAACTTCTATAGTGAATTGCCCCATATTTCAATGATTTAACACAAAGATTTATTTTTCACTTGTACGGGAGCACAGGTGTTCCTGCTTAGACAGCTCTCCTCCCCTGCCCATTTCAGGTCCAGGCTCCTTCCATTTTCAGGTGGTGATAGCCTGATCCTGCATGATAGAGTTCCCCATCAAGTGTTCCCCGAGTTGTCTTACCATCCATTAATGACCATTTTATGAATGAGCATTTCACTAGGGAATACAAAATGATGATTTTCTAATGCTATTATTTCCTCTTCTTTTATTCTCATTCTGTACAGAGAAACTTTTTCACATCCTCCAGGGCTGTTTGGTTTCCCTGAAATAAAGTTCATACCAGAAGGGCAAGAGAAATGCTTAAATTTCTTCCTTTATTTATCTCTTTCAAAGTTGGTGTCCTTAGCAATGTGGTGTTGAATGATTTTATTTCGTTTTGCTGTCTCTTTAAATTATTGTTGTGAACTGGTAGTTTTGATATATTTAATGTCTCTTAATCATTTGCAGTTATTTTTTGTTTTATATTATATAAAATTTCAAGCATACACAAAAGTAGAGAAAATAGTATAATGAATTTCCATGTACCTGTCACCCAGCTTCAGTGATTATCAACTCATGGCCAACCTTGGTTTATTTATTTCCTCAACTACTTGGTTACTCTTCCCTTAACCAAGATTATTTTGAAGCAAAACTAGATATGATTCCAACTCACCTGTAAGTGTTTTAGTATGTATCGCTAAAAGATAAGGAGTTTTATTACCATTATTGTACCTACAAATTAATAATTCCTCAATATAATAAAATATATTTGGTGTTCAATTTTCCCCCATTTTCTGACAAACTTAGAAAGTTTTAATATCAGGGTTAGGCTGGCCTCCTAACAAATTAGGAAGTGTTTCCTTCCGTTTTTGGTAAGCATTTGTGTAAGATTGGTAGTGTTATTCAGTACTGATAGAATTCATCCATGCAATAATCTGGGCCTGGATTTTTTTTATGGGGAGGTTTTTGATATCAAATTCAATTTCTTTGATATATATATGTAATATACATTCTAAGTTTTGAGTTAGTTTTGGTAAATTGTGTTTCCCAAAGAATTTGTCCATTTCATTTAAGTTGTTGAATTTATTGGCATAAAGTTGGTCATAACACTCCCTTGTTATTTTTTTAATACTCTATTCATTGTAAAATAAAGCACAAATGTAGAAAACATACAAAACAAATGTAAGGGGGCCGGCCCTGAGACCGAGTGGTTAAGTTCACGTGCTCTGCTTCGGTGGCCCAGGGTTTTGCAGGTTTGGATCCTGGGTGTGGACATGGCACCGCTCATCAGGCCATGCTGAGGTGGCGTCCCACATGCCACAACCAGAAGGACCTACAACTAGAATACACAGCTATGTACTGGGGGCCTTCGGGGAGAAGAAGAAAAGAAAATGTAAGGCTTAATGAATTATTCTAAGGCAAACACTGCCCTGTCAAGAACTAGAACCCACCCAGAAGTCATGCGCATGTGCCCGTCCTGATGACAGTCCCCTTCCTCTGCCCTAAGTAACTGTTTCCTGACTGTAGTATTTACTTCTTTACATCTTTTTTATAGCTTTATCATCCAAATATACATCCACAGATACTATACTTTAGTCTTGTCTATTTAAATAACTGATGTCTTTGTCTCTGAATCTATAAATCCCCTTCATCCCTTTCTTAATCCTTACAATTTATTTGTTGAAGAACCTGGGCCATTTGACTTGTCGAGTTTCTGACAACACTGGATTTTGCTGCTTATGTACTCATGATGCAGTTTTAAATGTTCCTGTGTGCGCAGTATTTCCTGCAAATTGGTGGCTGGATCAGACTCAGATTTGATCACTTTGGCAAGACTATAAAAGGCATATAAATCTAATTGTCTCTATGCTCATGATTTTTTTCAGGTGTCGATGCTTATTACTTGTATCCCTTAATTCATTGAGGATTGCAAAGTGGTGCCATTAATTCTATAATTTCATTTTATTTATTAGTTGAAATATTTTTGTAAGGAGAAACCTTATCTACTTGGTTTCTGAGTGCATAGTTCACATAGGAAAGGCAGAATAAGTGCTTGATTCTTTCCTTTTCCACCAGTTTTCAAGATAATGGATTGGATTCCTATCATCCTCAAAAGGTGGCCATTTAAAAAAATATCATTATGATCTTATGGATTTATATATTTTTGATGGGTTTCAATCAGTTGGAATTGTTGTCATTATTGAAGTGCCAACTGCCCCCACTTTGGCTAGTGGAGTCTCACCAGATTGGCTCCTGAGTCCTTTTGAGATGACCCTAGTAATCTTTGATAGTTTTCCTTGCTATTTGATATAACAAAATATTCCTGGGTCATCTTGTACACTTGTTGCCTCAGACTGGAGTCAGCCATTTCTCAAAGAATCCTTGGGCTTTTTAAATGAGAACTTATATTTCAAGACGGCAGCTAAGCCTTTTCAGTGGACAGAGCTAGGAGACTATATGTATATATAGTGTATATACACACACACCTACATACATACTTATGCACACATATATACACACATGGGATAAAATACTTCGAGTACGTATTGATACTTACAATTCAAATTCAAGATTAAAGAGCTTTTGTTTAATCTCTTCTCTAGCACCTTTCTTCCATACCAAGAAGCCTGGTTTTCAAAGACACAGGAGATGATAGAATTAGAATATCCCATAATTACTCATATCTTTTATTGCATACACAAAGCACTCTCAGGATAACAATATTAATACTACCACCAATATGATTACTGAAAACGTTACAAAAGTACTTTGCAAATGCACTTCCCGTTCCCCACCTCATTAAAAAAGTTTGTAGTAAACCTACAGGGTCAAGGTGTGTAGTATTATATACTGTACTCTCTCCTTCTCAGCCCTTAGTAGTTTTAGTTCTACAAGTAACCTTATTGTTAATGTTCATCTCCAGTCCTTAAATTATTCTACTCACTTTGGTTGTCCAAAGCTGGTTTTCTAATCCGAGAAGGGCCCTTGGGAACAGTATTCTCTGAGATCTTGCATGTTGATAACAGTTTGTGCCCTTTACACTTAGGAAGTCTGTTTTGCTAGGTTCACACTTTCCTTTCTTGAGTCCCTTACAAATGTTACTTCATTTTCTTCTGACACAAAGTATTACTCTTGGAAAAGCCTAATAATCTAATTTTTCCTTTCTTAGTTGTGTGTATGTGTGTGAATTTTAGATGCCCAAAGGATTTTTTTTTCTCAGCCATTTTTTTAGAATATGTCTTGGTGCTGATTGTTTTGGGACCATAGTCTCAGCTTTGCAGTATTCTGTTTGAAAATGTAGTTTCAAGTTTTTCTTTATTTCAGGAAAATTTTCTTTTTTCTTTTGAGGAAGATTAGCCCTGAGCTAACTGCTGCCAATCCTCCTCTTTTTGCTGAGGAAGACTGGCCCTGAGCTAACATCCTTGCCCATCGTCCTCTACTTTGTATATTGGACGCCTACCACAGCATGGCTTTTGCCAAGCGGTGCCATGTCCACGCCCGGGATCTGAACTGGTGAACCCTGGGACGCCGAGAAGCAGAAGGTGCGAACTTAACCGCTGTGCCACCGGGCTGGCCCCAGGAAAATTTTCTTGAACAGTCTTTAGTATTTGTTTTGTTCCCTTCGGTTTTCTTCTTCAAGGATTCATATTATCTCTCTCTCTATATATATCTTTTATGTATACATTTTTTGCCTATTTCAGTGTTTGTCAATGTCTCTCTAATCCTTTTTATCTCTTTCTTTTTGATTTTTAAAAATTTCCTCTTCTTAACCTTCCTTTAAGGCATTATCTATTGTGTCTATTTGCTCTTGGGTACTTTCTAGTTTAGTCTTCATTTCTAGAATGATTTTTTCCTTTTATTTGTAATCCTTTCCTGAGTCCTGTCACCTCCTTTCTGACTTTTTCTAATTCTGGTTTATGTTCTTTCACATACTGTGTCACGTTCTTAGCGTCTTTGGCTTGTTTTGAAATAGGAGGTTGCAGCTTTGACCTGTTTCGTGGAACATCTCCCTGATGTGCTTCATTGGCTGTAGTGATCTTATTCTTATGGTTCTTTTATAATAACTTTACGTGGGATGTGACTTTGAGACTTTTCTGTCACTCAATTTCCGTGTAATTAGTTTTCCTGAACTAAAAGAATGAGGTGGGGCTCAGAAGGGCTTTTAGAACATCACAGAGCCTCCTCTTCTGTTGTTTGCTCTTGCTTGCTTTCTGGGATATCCTGGCTCTGTTCCCCTCCTCTGTATTGGTGTCCATCTTCCCTTTCCTTCCTCTCTGTGGTCCAAATCCTACTACATTTTGATTCTGCTCACAGCAGTTTCTCCTGAATGGGGGACATGGTGCTAGAAGGAAGCCCTGGCGGGTTGACTTTGACAGTTCATAGGAGCCAAACCTGCCACAGCCCCTTGGTCCTCACTGTGGCCGCCTTACACTCACCTGCTATTTTAGACGGCAAATCCCTCCTGGTTTCATTTACCATTCTCGGTTGGCTTGTCTTGATTCCAGTGAATACCTGTCGGCTCTTTTGAGGTTCTCCTGTTCTTGTTCTGCCAGATGCCATCCCTTTATTTCCTTCTTTCTCCAGCACAGATGCTGAGCCTGTGCAGGTCTGGTGGCTCTTGGTGGTTTGCTCCACCTGCTTGTACTTTGTGGGTGTGGAGCTAACTTGTCACCAAATTTTGTTGTAAATGTTGTCCATATTTTTAAAAATTTTACTCTCCAGTCACTGTGTGAGTTTTTATTTGGGGATCTGAAGAGACTGAAAAACTACGCTGCCACCATAGCCACCATCTTTACAGAATCCTCTCCCTTTTATCCTTTGATGTCTGTAGGATCTGTAGTGATATCCTCTCTTTCATTCCTGATATATATACAATTTGTGCTTCTCCATTTATTCTTGATCAGTCTTGCTAGGAGTTTATCCATTTTATTAATCTTTTTAAAGAATCAACTTTTGGCTTTGATAATTTTCTCTATCATTTGTCTGTTCTCTATTTCATTGAATTTTACCCTAATCTTTATTATTTCCTTTCTTATGCTTTGGGTTTAACTTGCTCATCTTTCTTTAGCTTCTTAGGTAGAAACTTAGATCATTGATTTTAAGCCTCTATTATTATTTTCTTTTTTTTTTTTGCTTCTTCTCCCCAAAGCCCCCCGGTACATAGTTGTATATTCTAGTTATGAGTGCCTCTGGTTGTGCTACGTGGGACGCCGCCTCAGCACAGCTTGATGAGTGGTGCCATGTCCACACCCAGGGTCTGAACCCACGAAACCCTGGGCCATCAAAGCGGAGCGCCTGAGCTTAACCACTTGGCCACAGGGCTGGCCCCTATTCTTTTATAATATAAACTGTAAATTTCTCTCTAAGCACTGCTTTACCTACATTCCGTACATTTTTTACATGTTGTATTTTATTATCATTCAGTTAAAAGTGTTTTATGATTCCCTTTGCTATTTCTTCTTTGGCCCATGAGTTAATTAGAAGTATATTGTTTACTAAATATTTTGGGCTCTTTAGAGAGCTTGTTTTTATTGATTTCTAATTGAATTCCAGACAATATACTCTGTACAATGTCAATTTTTAAAGATTTATTGAGACTTTTTTTGTTGTTGTTGAGGAAGATTGACTCTGAGCTAACATCTGTTGCCAATCTTCCTCTTTTTGCTTGAGGAAGATTATCCCTCAGCAAACATCTGTGGCAGTCTTCCTCTGTTTTGTATGTGGGATGCTGCCACAGCATGGCTTGATGAGTGGTGTATAGGTCTGCACCCAGGATCCAAACCGGCAAACCCTGGGCCACGGAAGCAGAACATTTAAACTTAACCACTATGCCACTAGGCTGGCCCCTATTAAGACTTGTTTAATGGCCCAGAATGTGGCCTGTCTGGGTGAATCTTCCATATCCCCCTGAAAAGAATGTGTATTAGACAGTTGTTAGGTATGACGTTCTATAAATGTCAGTTAGGTCAAGGTGGTTGATAGTATTGGTCAAGTCATCTATATCCTTGCTGAATTTTTGTCTGCTGGTTCTATCAACAAATGAGACAAATAGAAAACAAATAGCAATTGGCAGTCTTACATCCAGACTTATCAATAATTACATTTAATGTAAGTGGACTAAACCCTGCAATTCAAACACAGAGATTGTGGGGGCCGGCCCATGGCCAAGTGGTTAAGTTCACGCGCTCTGCTTCAGCAGCCCAGGGTTTCGCTGGTTCAGATCCTGCGCGTGGGCGTGGCACCACTCGTCAGGCCACACTGAGGCAGCATCCCACATGCCACAACTAGAAGGCCCCACAACTAAAGAAATATACAACTATGTACTGGGGGGATTTGGGGAGAAAAGGCAGAAAAAAAACAAACCAAAAAAACAGAGATTGTGAATCTGACTTAAAAAGCAAGATCCAACAATATGCTGTCTACAAGAGATGTACCTTACACACAAAGATACAAATAAGTTGAAAGTAAAAGTTTTGGGAAAAAATATACCATGCAAACACTGATCCAAGGAATGTTGAAAATTAATGTCAGGCGAAATAAGCCTCAAGACAAGGATTATTACCAGAATAAAAGAAGGATGTTTTATAATGATAAAAGGATCAATATATGAAGACTTACAAATATAAATTGTGTATACACCTAATAAAAGAGCTTTCAAATTACATGAAGAAAAACTGGCAGAACTAAAGGGAAAAAAACTAAATCCACAATCACAGTTAGAGATTTTAACACCCCTCCCTTACTGGTGATAAAATAAGTATTGCACTACATCACATAAAATATAGGAATCTTGCAACAGTATAGTTCCATTTTCCCCCTCTGGCCCAGTCCTTTGAGAGATCGTTGTCAGGTGTACTTTATCTACATGTGCTGGAAACCCCAGCATATAGCTTACAGTGTTTCATATGCATTTTAAAGAGATTTAAGTGAGGGAAAAAAATTTTTTAAGCCACTTTTATATTAACCCACAGTATTAGTTTCCCATGGCTGCTGTAACAAATTAACACAAACTTAATGGTGTAAACCAACACAAACTTATTACCTTACAGTTTTCAAGGTCAGAGGTCTGAAACGGGTCTCATCAGGCTAAAATCAGGGTGCCAGTAGGGTTGCATTCCTTTCTGGAGGCTCTAGGTAAGAATCTGTTTTCTTGCATTTTCCAGCTTCTACAGGCCATCTGCTCTCCAACACTTTCTCTTCTGCCTCCTCCCATTTATAAGGACCCTTGTGATACACTGGGCCAGATAATCCAAGGTAATCTATCCATCTCAACGTCAGCTGATTAGCAACCTTAATTTCATCTGCAACCTTAATTGTCCTTTGCCACATAACACATCATATTCCCAGATTCTGGCGATTAGGCCATGGACACCTTTGATGGGCTGCTATTCTGCCTACCACAGCCACATATTTACCATTTCTGGTGCTCTTCTTTCCTTCCTGTAGATTACTTGGTGTCATTTTCCTTTAGTCTGAAGAACTTTCCTTAGTATTTCTTGTAGTACAGGTCTGGTGGTGATGATTCTCTGTTTTTGTTGATCTGAGATAGTCTTTATTTTGCTTTCATTTTACTTTAAAAAAATTAAAATAATTTTTATTGAGGTATAATTCACATATAATAAAATGAACCCACTTTAAGTATACAGTTTGATGAGTTTGAAAATGTATGCGCTCATGTAATCATCATCATAATTAACACACAGAACATTTTCATCACCTCAAAAATTTATTGCGTGCCCCTTTGCATTGACTCTCTCTATTGCTCTGGCCCCAGGCAACCACAGATCTGCTTTGTATCAATAAAAATTAGTTTTTCCTTATTTTAGACTTTCCTATAAGTAGAATAATACAATATATACTTTTTTATGCCGGGCTTTTTTTGTTCAGCATCATGTTTTTGAGATTCGTACATGTTGTATGTATCAGGAGTTTGTTATTTGTGATTGCTAAGTAATATTCCATTGAATATTCCATGAATATACCACAATTTATTAATCCACTCACCTATTGATGGACATTTGAGTTGTTTCCAGCTTTTGGCTCTTATAAATTAGGAGTCTGTGAACATTCATCTACAAGACTTTTTGTGAACATTTGTTTCTTAAATAAATACCACTCTTGGATAAATACCTAGGAGTGGAATGGATGGGTCATACGGCAAGTATAATTTGATAAGAAACTGTCAACCCTTTTCTCAAAGTGCTTGTCCCATTTTACACTCTAACCTGCAGTGTATCTAAGTTCCAGTTGCCCTGCGTCCTCAACACCACTTAGTATTGTCAGTCTGTTTAATTTTAGCTATTTTAGTACGTATGTAGTGGTATCTCATTTGTATACATTTTTCTTTATGTCTTTGAAACTGTAATAACAGCTGCGTTAAAATTCTCGTCTGCTAATTTTAACATGTGTGTCACCTTGGGGAGGTTTTTATTGACTGACTTATGAGTCACATTTCCCATTTCTTCACTTGTCTGCTATTTTTTGTTGGATACTGGACATTATAAATGACATATTTCAGGATTCTAGATTCTGTTATGTCCCTTTGAAGAACGTTTTTTTCTAACAGGAAGCTAACTTGGCTAGACTTCAACTCCAAATTCTCTCTTCAGCAGTGGGCCAAAGCTGACATCCTCACCCAGTTCTTTCACGTTCTAGCTGCTGCTTTTTTTTTCTGGGTTGCCGGTGTTGACCCTGTGCGTGTGTAGGTTAGCAGTCAAACAAGCGTTTGGGGGGATTTCTTTTCTACAAATTTTGGGGATCACCCTCTTTGTGATTCTCTTCTTTCCAGGATTTCTCCTCTCTTTGGTTGCTCAGCCAGCCCCAAATTCAGTTTTCTGACACCTCAGAATAGTGCAGCTGTTTCTTTTCTCCACCAGAGCTGCTTGCAGGTTGGGGAGTGCTCTCAGCAAAAGGCCGCAGATACACCAACCTCACCAGTTACAGTTGTTTTTCAAGGGTGCTTACCTCCAGTTTCTGCCGACGTTTGGTCACTTGCCAGTGCTTTCAAAGAATTGTCTTTTTAGAATACTTTTTTCCAGATAGTGTAATTGTTATTCATGAGAGGGTTAGTCTGACTGAACTTATCTGCTGTCACTGGAAACCAGAACCACAAATACTTAATTTTGATGTGGTAAAACAAAACCCACATTTTCCAAGTGCCTGAAACATCTTTTACCTGCCTCTGCCCCTTTCTGAACCTTTGACCCCTCACTGCGACCCCCTGGGCCCCCTGAGCTTCTATGGCATCCCCTTTTTCATTAGTAGTGGAACTCCCTATTTTACAGTGGGCACATGGCCCTCTGGAATAAGTCTGTTCCACAGCTTCTCTTGCAGTTCTATGTGACTGAGGGAATGTGATGTGGGTTTTCCAGGTTGGATTCTCTGAAGTCAGAAGCTGAGATGGAATCTGGGGTGCAAGGTATTTATTAGTGATCAACACCTGTAAGAAGAAGGGTGCAGAAGCAGGACTGGGCAGAGGAAGAAGTCAAACTGTGACGTCTTAGCCAACCCAGTGGGGAGCTCTGGATCTCTTATTGCCTGTCAGAGGGGACCCTGTTGGGCCAAAATGGCTGGGCTTTTCTAGTCCCACTCTCTCAGTCACCTGATAGAAGCTACTCTGGGATAGATTTGACCTCAAGAAAAGTGGCTCTGTGCAGCCTGAAGGAGCCAACTGCTAGAGGCTGTTTGATAACCACATTCCCTACAGATGAGCTGTGTCTTCATCGGGGTCTCCAAAAGAAATAGAGCCAATAGGATGTGTGTGTGTATATTTATAAAGAGATTTATTATGTGGAATTGGCTCACACTACTATGGAGGCTGACAAGTCCCAAGATGTGCAGGATGAGCTGGCAAGCTGGAGACCCAGGAGAGCCAACGGTGTAGTTCCAGTCTGAAGACCAGCAGCCTCAAGAACCAGAAGGGCTGATGTTTTAGATCAAATCTGAAGGCAGAAAAAACACATGTCTCAGTTTGAAGCTAGTCAGGCAGAAAGAATTTTCTCTTGTTCAGGGGATGATCAGCCTTTTTATTCTATGCTGGTCTTCAACTGATTGGATGAGGCCCATCCACATTAGGCAGGACAATCTGTTTTACTCAGTCAACTGATTCAAATGTTAATGACGTCCAAAAACACCATCACAGATACGCCCAGAATAACATTTGACCAAATATTTGGGCACCCTGTGGCCTAGTCAAGTTGACACATAAAATTAACCATCACAGGCAGCAGGTCATTTCTTATGTCATCCCTGTGTCTGCCTTGAGCAAGACCCCAAATTCTCCTTAAAGAGTAGAGGGGCTGGCCCGGTGGTGCAGCAGTTAAGTTCACACGTTCTGCTTCTTGGTGGCCCAGGGTTTGCCAGTTCAGATCCCGGTTGCAGACATGGCACCACTTGGCAAAAGCCATGCTGTGGTAGGCATCCCATGTATAAAGTAGAGGAAGATGGGCATGGATGTTAGCTCAGGGCCAGTCTTCCTCAGCAAAAAGAGGAGGATTGGCAGCAGTTAGCTCAGGGCTAATCTTCCTCAAAAAACAAAACAAAAACAAAAACGTGGAGAGTGCAATTCTTTGTTCCTTCCATTTTCTGGATGGTTTAAATGTAGACAGAATATCTGAAACTTGAGCGCCAATTTTGACTGGGAGGCGGAAGATCGGGGAGCAACAAGAAGTTGCTGATCCCCTGACAACTTTGTGAAACTCACACTACTGCCTCTCTGGACTTTTCTGGGAGGGAGAAATAAACTTATGTTTTGTAAGCCACTGTTATTTTGGATTTTCTATAAAGTATTGTCAAACCCAACAATAATTAATGTAGCTCTTCTCTCCCTGAAGGACTCAAATTTATTTACATATTCATAAATAAGGTAGGTTATAGTATGCATGAAGGTAGAGAGTATATCTTATTCAACATTCTTTGCCCAGCGCCTGACATCACAGTGCCTGGCACACAATAATAGTGACCCCATCTAGCACTTTCTGTGTATTAGGCATTGTTCTAAGTGCTTTATATACATTAACTCATGTAATTATGACTTATGGGTGTGAGGTAGCTGTTATTGCTCCATTATTATCCTCCTTTAAGTTCAGAGTGTTTAAAGAACATAATAACATGCCAAGGTTATATAGATAAGTGGAGAGCTGAGATTTGAACCGAGGCAGTCTAGGTCTTTGCTATTCCATCTTGCCTCTCTTAGGTGCCTGTTTAGTGAGTAGGCATTAGTAAATATTTGTGAAATGAATGAAAATCTGCAGGTCTTCCACACCTGTGGCCTGAAGCAAGCTGAAGCCCTAGGTGGGGCCAGAGTGGGCAGAAGCCCAATCATTTCTAGCATCTGGGGCCTGCCTACAAGGGGCTCAGCAGCCAGGCTGGCCCTGCTCTGTGCTGGCACATGTCACTGAGTGAAAGAGGTGCATTGGCCTCTGCTCCAGAACACACGCAGTAGTCACGGTGCCCCTCCCCATGCCCAGTGTCAGGTACGTGATGTATTCACATGAATGCGTAGGAGTAAGCGCTCCAGAGTGGGGATGTGACCAGGATAAGTACAAACAGAGTGAAGCGCTATGGAGTCAGACTACCTCAGGTCCAAGTCCTGGCTCTGTCACCTACCAGCTGCAAGATCACAGCAAGTTAACTAATCTCTCTCTGAACTTCAATTTCTTCAATGGTAAGATCAGGATAAAACATTTACCCACAGGGTTTTGTAAGAATTAAATAATACATAGGAAATACTTGGAAACGTGTCAGGAATACGGTAAATGCTGAATAAAAGTCAGCTGAGATTATTATCATGATTTTAAATAGTTGTGGTCATCAGTTCATCTTATTGTTTTTAATAACGGCTTTATTGAGCTACAATTCACTTTTTAAAAGGGTACAATTCAATGGTTCTTAGTATATTCACAGACAGCCGTCACCACAATCAATCTCAGAACATTTTCATCAGCTCAACGTGAACCCTGGTACCCACGAGCAGTCCTGTTCCTCCCTGCCCGCCTCGCAGCCCCTGGCAACCACTAATCTACTTTCCGTCTGTATAGATTTGCCTATTCTGGTTATTTCATATAAGTGGAAATCATAAAATGTGTGGTCTTTGTGACTGGCTTCTTTCACTTGTTGATGTTTTTAAGGTTCATCCAATTGTAGCATGTATCAGAACTTCATTTCTTTTCCATGGCTGAATAATATTCCACTTTATGGATGTAGCACATTTGTTTATCCACTCATCAGGTGATGGACATTTGGCATCAGTTCATCTTTAATCCTCACAATAACCATGTGAGGCTGGCTGCACAGGGATTACCATTACTTCCATTTTATAGATGAGGAAGTTGAGGCCCAGAAAGAGGAAATAATGTGCCCAAGGTCACAGGTTAAGTTAGAGGCAGTTTTCTGACTACCTATCAGTTTCCATTGGCCCACAGAAGCAATGAAGAAGTGTAGGCTTGAGGCTTACGTATATATGTGGGTGTACCGGGTTTTTGAGAGAGGGAGGAGAGAGACAGCAGGGTCCAGCAGTTCTGGCCTGGCTCAGTCCCCAGGCTCAGGTGGTGGTGGGAGGCAGGAGCCTTCCTCAGGTTTCCAGTCTGTGCCCAGGGCAGTTAGGAAGCCCTTCAATAATCCAGATTTCACTGGGCTGGCCCGGTGGCGCAGTGGTTAAGTTCTCACGGTTCTGCTTCAGCGGCCTTGGGTTCGCCGGTTTGGATCCTGGGTGCGGACGTGGCACTGATTGGCACACCATGCTGTGGTAGGCGTCCATGTATAAAGTAGAGGAAAATGGGCACAGATGTGAGCTCAGGGCCAGTCTTCCTCAGCAAAAAGAAGAGGATTGGCAGCAGTTAGCTCAGGGCTAATCTTCCTAAAAAAAAAAAAAAAATCCAGATTTCGCTTGGCTACCTGGTTGCCATATTTCATCTCCCAGTACCCCTACTGGAGGTCAGGCACACAAGACGGGAGGATGGGGATGGAAGATGGAGGAGGCAAAGTAGGCTCAGACCCTTAGCTCCCCACAGGAAGGCTCTTCCCCAGCGGATTTCGCCTATTCTTCCAGTCTCCTGCAGTCACCACCCTCATGCATCCCAGCTTTCAGTCACATCAGGTCTTCTCAAGACACACCCTGCTGTTTCACACACCTGTGCTGAACACACTCTGCTGCTTCTCTCTGACACTCTCCTCTCTGCCAGTTGGGTTAATTATTCCTCCTCCTTTACAGTCCACCTCAAATATCACTTAAAAGTAATCATAGTAGGGACTTCTGCTTCTGGGACTATGGTATTTTTCCCTATACCTCTCACTAAGTACAACTAAAAATCCAGAACTTTGTATATAAAACTAACATAAGAAGACTCTGAAAGATGAAGAGAAGCGAGACTGGCTAGGGACCTTGGGACCCGAGGAATGACATGGTGGTGAGTTCCCTGAGCTTTCTTGGAGCTGAAGAAACTGGCAACCAAAGATGTCAGTGAGTACAGACAAAAAAAGCCCCAGAAAAACCCTGCATTCTCTAGCCAAAGGACCAAGAAAAAGAGGGAGGCTAGCAAGGAAGAAACTTGTAGACAATAAGTGCTCCAGGCTAGACAGACAACACAGAAAAAACTGTGGCCCCATCCTGACCCACATCAGCAAAGGCCAAGCCGGAGCCTAGATCTGTTGCTTTGTGAGGCTGTTGTGGGGCACTCCAAAACCCCTCCCTGGGTGTTGTCAGAGAACGTCAAGTAGGGAGCTGGACTCCCACTCATGCCCAGCAGTAACAAGAAGTCCCCCACCTTAGGTATCAACAGAGACTGAGTGAGGAACCTGGACTTCTACCTACACCTGCCAGTAACTAGGCAGTGCCCCCACTTTCCCTCCCAGAACAGTGTCAAAAAACCCAGTTGAAACAGAAGGTTTAAACGAGATCTAGAGTTTCAAAACTTCATAGGAAAATGTCCAGGTTTCAATAAAAAAAAGTCATATTTTCTAATTTTTTGAGATCTCAAAATGAATTAAAACAATCAATAGACGCTAATACCAAGATGACAGAGATATTAAAGTTATTTGGCAAAGATTTTAAAGCAGCCATGATAAAAATCCTTCAGGGAGCAATTGCAAACATGCTTGAAACAAATGAAAAAGAATAGAAAGTCTCAGTGAAGAAATAGAAGATACAAAGAACGAAACTATAAGTTTAGACTCAGAAAAACACAATAACTTTGATTTTAAAGAACTCAGTGGATAGGCCCAACAGCAGAATGGACAGAGGGGACATAGGAAAGAGTCAGTGAACTCAAAGGTAGAACAATAAAAATTATCCAATCTGAACAGAGAGAAAATAGACTGAAAAAAAAAGAGCCTCAAGGACTGGTGGGACTACGACAAGAGACAGAACATTCATGTCATCAGTCCCAGAAGGAGAGGAGAAGGAGGGAGGAGGTGAAAAAGTACTGGAATAAATAATTGCTGAAGATCTCTCAAATTTGGCAAGAGACGTAAATCTATAAATTCAAGAAACTGAGCTCAAGGAACTCCAATAGAATAAAACCAAAAAAAAATCCAAATCAAGATACATCAGAGATAAACTTCTGACAATGACAAAAAATCTTGAAAGCAGCCAGACAAAAATGACCCCTTATCTATAGGAGAGAAACAATTAGAATAACAGTGGATCTCTCATCAGAAACCAGAAGGTCAGAAGGAAGTAGCACAGTATTTTTCAAGTACTGAAACAAAAGAATCCAGAATCCTACACCCAGCAAAAACATCATTCAGGAATGAAGAGGAAATCAAGACATTATTAGATGACAGAAAACTAAGAAAATTTGTCAACAGCAGACATACCTCAACAAATGGCTAAAGGAAGTTCTCTAAACAGAAAGGAAACAATAAAAGAAGGAACCTTAAAACATGAGGAAAAGAGAAAGAACACAGTAGGAAAAAAAATATGAGTAAATACAATAGGATTTCC